GGCTTTGGCTTTGGCTTCGATTGTTGTTGTTGAGCTTGAGCCTTCTTCTTCTCTTGATTTGCCATGTACCCAATGCCACTTCTATCCATCTTTATGACGGTGTTCATTAGGAGCTCACTTTGAAGATATTTGCCTCTAGTAAACTTGCTCAATCCAATTTTGAGATGCTCTTTTTCCAACTTGAGCTTCTTGTTCTCTTCCTTAAGAGCATCATTGTTCTTCTCTTCCTTGAGCTTCTTGTTCTCTTCTTTGAGCTTCTCATTCTCAAAGATCAAGTCACCATCATGATCAAGGGTTTCTAGCACAATGGTGTTGTGGCTTTTGATTTCTTCAAGATCTTTCTTGAGCTTTGCATTGTCATTCTTGAGCTTGACAAACTCATCATAATCATCGGCCTCAACCACTTGCTTGCCCTTGCTACTAGAACCTTGCTCAATGCTCTCAATGATCAAGTCATCACATGATGTAGCTATATCAATCTTAATAACATGGTTAGTAGCATCATGTGACTCATTGGATAAAAATTCTTGAGTAATGACAAGACTATCATGATTAATTTTAAGAGTTGTATAATCTTCTTTTAGCTTGTTGTGGCTAGTGATGAGCTCTTTGTGCACCCATTCAAGTTTATCATGTTTGTCTTTAAGCTCTTTCTTAGAAGATTTGAGCTCCTTGAGTTTGGATGACATAGCATCATTTGCTTTTCTAAGCTGAACACTAGCCTTTTTGGCTATATCATATTTTGCTAAAAGTGCATCATTTTTAGCCTCTAGTTTTTCATTCTTAGCTCTAGTCTTTATAATGATCTTAGTGTATTGTTTTAGCAATCTAGCAAGATCATCATAAGTAGGTGACTCATATTCATCATAATCACTATCGCTATCATTATTACTAGTATTTTCATCATCACTACTATCATCACCATTTGATACCTTGCGTTCACCCTTAGCCATAAGGCATAGGTGTGTAGAGGATGATGTCGATGGTGGCGGTGAAGATGATGAGTCAATAACAATGGTGATCACCTTCTTGTTGTCACTATCATCATCGGATGATCCACTAGATGAATCAATGTCCGTGAGCCAATCATCGACGATGTAAGCCTTTCCACTCTTCTTCTTCTTGTGAAAGTCCTTCTTGCCATCTCTCTTCTTGTATGACTTGTTTTTTTTCTTCTCATCTTCATCTTCATTGCTTGAGTCATCTTTCTTGCCCTTGTTCTTGTTCTTGAACTTGTCTTTCTTGGGCTTTGTGCATTGGTAAGCTAGATGACCAAGTTCTCCACAATTGTAGCAATCCATCTCGGAGATTGGCTTCCTTCTAGAGCTAGTGAAGGACTTCTTCTTGCCATCAAACTTGATGCCACTCTTGTTGAGCTTCTTTAGCATCTTGGCGATTTTCTTCACCATGAGAGCAAGACTTTCATCATGAACTTAATCATCAGTTGAGCTCTCATACTCAAGTCTTGCTTTGTCCTTCTCTTGGCTAACTTTGAATGCTAAATCTTTTTTCTTTCTTATTTGTAGAGGATGAGCCATCTTGAGGTGTGATGTGCATGTACATCTCATGAGCATTGATCTTTCCCAAGATTTGTGTCGGTGTAGCGGTGGAAAGATCACCTTGGTGTAGCATGGTCACAATATGCCTATATTTGTCAATGGGGAGGACACTCAAAATCTTTCTTACAACATCGGATGGTTGCATTTGAGTAAGTCCAAGCCCATTGACTTTCTCTACAAGAACATTCAAACGTGAATACATTTCATTAGCACATTCTTTAGGAAGCATTTCAAAAGAGTTGAACTTTTTTATGACAAGATGATAGCGTTCCTCACGCTCACTCTTTGTTCCCTCATGGAGTGCACAAACGTCCGACCATAGTGCACGGGCGTCTTTGTGGTTCCTCACCCGGTTGAACACATCTTTACAAAGGCCTCTAAATATGGTGTTTCTAGCCTTTGCATTCCATTTTTCATAGTTCAACTCATCGCCTTGTGGGTGTGCGGCATCCCGAGGTCTTAGGAAACCTTGTGAGGCGGCTTTAAGAATTCCAACGTCTAGAGCTTCTAGATACGCCTCTATGCGGATTTTTCACTATGAAAAATCATCCCCCTCAAAGATAGGAGGAGGTCCATCCCCATGAGACATTTTTCTCTAGTTGGTTAAGCCTAAATACGTGAGCACGAGGCTCTAGTACCAATTGAAAGGATCAAGATGCCCAAGAGGGGGGTGAATTAGACTAATTCTAAATTTCTTTGTAATAATTAAATCCTATGGTTACCCCAATTAACCCCTTGTGCCTAGAAAGTATTTCTAGTTATTCTACCACATAAAAGACTTGCAACCTAAGTTCTAATCCTACTCTAGCATGGCAATTCTACGAATGTAAAAACAAGAATTGAATTGCTCAAAGTAAATGCTCAAAGTAAAGAGAGGAGAGGAAATATGGCGATGTTTTGCCGAGGTATCGGAGAGTCGCCACTCCCCACTAGTCCTCGTTGGAGCACCTGCGCAAGGGTGTAGCTCTCCCTTGATCTGCATAAGGGTCAAATGCTCTCTATGGGTTGATTCTTCGACACTCCATCGCGGTGAATCACCCACAACCACTCACAACTTATGTTGGGTCATCCACAAGCTCTCCGGATGATCACCAAGCTCCCAATCACCACCAAACCGTCTAGGTGATGGCGATCACCAAGAGTAACAAGCATGAACTCTCACTTGACCACGACAAGCCTAATAAAAAGGGTGAATGCACACTTTGCTACTCTTGATCTCACTAATGAGGGCTCTCTTTGGGATTCTCAAATCTCAATCACCTCACTAGGATCTTGCTCTTCTTGGCACTCTTAAACGTGTTTCTCAGCTGTTGGAATAAGCAAAAGTACCCCCACACAAGAGTGGAGGGAGTATTTATAACATAGGTTGAAAAACAAACCGTTATGTGCCTCTGCAGGGTGACCGGACGCTCCAGTCAGTACACCCCGAACTCCAGTGTTTACAGTGTGACCGGATACTGGGAAGCATCCGATCAGCAGTGACCGGATGCGCCTGGTCATAATTTTCCCTCTCTAGAACCTTACTAGAGTCGTCCGGACCCGCGTCCGGTCACTTCATCTCTCAGCGTCCGGTCAAACCAGACGCAAATTATCTTGGTCAAATGAACGGACCGGACCCTGAGCCAGCGTCCGGTCAAACCGGAGCCAGCGTCCGATCAGTATTTGACCCTCCATTCACTTTCAACTCTCGATCATATATGAATGAAGTTTGCTTCATTGGATCTAAGGGCTATTTTGGAGCTACCTAGTGCTAGTTTTAATAAGTGTACACCACACCTAATTCACTAGACTCACCTAGATCAAGCTACCCGTCCATACCCCCCCTTAATAGTACGGCCAAAGGAAAAACAAAGTCTTAAACTACTATAAGTGTCTCTCCAACTTCAATCGATACTTAGAACTAGTCATCCTTAACCTTGTCGTCCATCATTTGAAAACTGAAACAATTTCCATCGTAGGGGCATGACCACCTTGATTGCTCAATTGATCTCCATTACCATGACCTAACTTAATCGGCTCTGCAAAACACACGTTAGTTATAGTAATCTTGTATTGTCATTAATCACCGAAATTCAACTAGGGGTCTAGATGCTTTCAAGAAGCTTATGGATTCTTATCTCATGCAAGAAATTAGTCATGAGGCTGTAGTAACAACGTTAAAATCATACCAACCTCACACTCACAAGTGCACATATACATAAGTTCTATATATTCTATCACGTGCTAACAATTGTTGCTCTCAAACAAGCCAACCTTCCGTTGAGCATGTACTTATAGAAACTTATGATGACTCCATTACAAAAGAAAATGAAGAGCTCAAGAAAGAAATTGAGAGACTAAAAATGGACTTGATTTAATTGAAGGGAAAGTACAATGCTCAGCCTTCCGAAGGTAACCATGAATTTATAGTTTTGAGTTTTATCATTTAAAGTTGTTAATATGCTCAAGAAAATAATATAAAGTTTAGTAGCATATTAATCGTGTATCAGGGTTTGTCGTTTTAAAAATAAGTCTTTCTTGTATCGTGTCGAAAAAAGATACTTTGTACGTGGAATTTTATATTTTGTATTATCTAATTTCAAATGAAAAACTCGAAACTAGAAAGTTATACGTTCCATTGAGAGCTAAAATTTGATATAAAAACCATCTCTATCTGAGTCATATAAAAAACTATTTTTTTAAAGTAGAGTCTTGCCCATTTGTCACATCCATGACACTAATATAGTGAGTGGGGTAAACTCTCATTTAAATCTAGATGAGACCCATTATAATGGATCCGTTCGCGTGCCCTTAAACTCGACTCGATCCGCTTATTTTTTTATCCGGAACAGTGTTTTTCTCTCATAAATTCCTCCACCATTCCTCCAAACCATCCAGATTTCTCCAGAATTCAGACAAGCGAACAGGCCCATCAGAAATCCAAAAATGTATTTTGGAACTTTAAAGACATCTTAAAACGACTTTGAGCACGGCTGATAAACTCTAGATCATGTCGTTGATGATGGAGTTATACAACTCCTCTCTCCATCGAACGTCTTTGTGTGCACATGACATGCCGCGACCCTCCGTCTCAACCCAGCTTCAGAGCCCGTTAATCCAGGCCGCTCGTCCGACACTCAAGGGCCTAGATCTCTGTGACGTCCCCACGATAGGATTACGGCAGCAGTGCTGCTGCAATTTCCTCCGGTTGACGATCGCCTACCGCCCGTCGTAAGACCAACGGGCGTGATGCCATCACATCCCTTCAATCCTCGGACCGTGCCCGTGCCAGCCCCATCCTCTACGTCCCCACGCGCGCGGCGCGCCGTCACATCCCCGACTCGATAAACCCTTCTCTCGTCCGCCTCCGCGCCTCCCTCCCTCCCTCTCCTCTCCCGCTTCGTCTTCCCCACCCGCGGCGCGCCGCACCCCCAAAACCCTAACCCTAGATTGCGAGAGGACATGGCCAGCAAGTTTGGGCTAGCCGGCGGCATCCCGGAGCGGCGGGTGAGGCCGATCTGGGACGCAGTCGACTCGCGTCAGTACAAGGCCGCGCTCAAGCTCTGCACCGCGCTCCTCGCCAAGCACCCCACATCCCCCTACGCGCTAGTGAGCACTTTATCTCTCTCAGTTCAAACTCGTTTTCGCTTTGGCTCTCTTGGTGTATACTTTTGGCGAATCTGGCGTGGAAACGGGTGGTTGGGCAATCAGCAGTCCAGTTCGGCGTCCTTTTGTTTTTTTTTCCATTCTCAGCGAAATGTTTGATCAAATGGATGGATAATTAGTGCAGTGATGGTCTGATGGAGAACGAGACGATTACCTTTGATTTTATTTTACGTCCTTTCTTTTTGGCTATAGTTGGATTTATACTAGTTTGCTTTAAGCTTTTGTGGATGATGACGATGTTTAAGGGCTTCGGACATGTTACTTGCTGTTCCAGTTTCAGGCAACAGTGCAACACTCAGCTCACATGCCTAGTTAGAACAACATATAGAAAAATCAATTGGAATCTTTCTACCGACTGGGGAAGCCTCGTGCTCAGTTAAGGAGTTGGCTTAGGCCTGGTCCCATTCCCTTCTTTAGCGAAGAAATGAGGATAGCATCCTAATTTCTTTTAAATCTGCTTTTTCCTTGCTGGGAAATTGGAGCAATTTATGGTATGTGCTGTACACCATAGACTCGGGTGTCTTTTTTTTTTGTTTTGTTTTGCCATGTCGATGCATATCCCTGTTCGGCACACTCCAGATTTGACTCCAGAGTCCGGACAGAGAGCCAAGGAGGCGTCCGTCTTTGGAGAAGGGCACTGAGTAGTGAGGTAGTCATGGTGTACCTAGTTTGCTTACTATTCATAGGTGCAAGCTGGTGTCTGGCAGCAGCAATCTATGGCAGCATGGAGGCTGCATTGTGGAAGAAGAAATGACAGTGGAGGTGTGTGTGTGTGTGTCAGTGTGTGGTGGTGGTGGTGGGCGGGGGTTGAGAAAGCGGCAGTGGTGGCTGCTGCAGCATGTGTGAGCCACCTGCAGAAGAGTGGTTAGGGTACTTAGTTGAGCTGGATGATGTGGAAACTCCTTGTTTTCTCTCATATGTTTCTCTTCCCATATTTTGTATTTGGCTGGATCTAAATTCCTCTTTGTTTTTGCATAAGTTAATTGTTTTTGCACTTCAGCCTGTTTCTTGCCAACATACTTAATGAAACCATCTGTTAAAGATGTATAATGAAACTCCTCTTTGTTGTTTTTATGCTCTGTCAATGCACTGAACTGTTGAAGCCTTACCTTAAATTATCTCATTCCAGGCCCTCAAGGCTCTTATTCTGGAAAGGATGGGAAAGCCTGATGAAGCATTGAGCGTGTCCCTGAATGCCAAGGAGCTATTGTATTCTGACAACATTTTTCATTTTGATGATCTTACACTTAGCACTCTACAGATAGTATTTCAAAGGCTTGACCGATGTGCGTTTGTACTTGTTCATTTATTTTATCCATTTAACATTATTACTGTAGTACATATCTCTAATTTTTCTCATGACCATGCTAATGCAGTGGATCTTGCTACTTCGTGCTATGAATATGCCTGTACAAAGTATCCAAGTAACTTGGAATTAATGATGGGACTTTTTAATTGCTATGTTAGAGAGTACTCATACGTGAAACAACAGCAGGTATAATGGTACTTTCATTGCTACTTAATTTACATTCCTTTTGATATCTTATTTCTATGCTTGCCCTCCTTGCCTGGTATCTTTTGCAGACAGCTCTCAAAATGTACAAAACTGTAGGAGAAGAAAGGTTTTTGCTTTGGGCAGTTTGCAGCATTCAACTGCAGGTGAGAAATATTTCTCATATTTGCATGGATTGTGGTATATGCATTTGCCATTTCAAATTCGTTACTGGAGAAGGGCTGTTTTGTTCACTAAAGGATAAAGGACTAAGATAGTTGTAAGTAGAAACATTGTGTTTGTCATGGACCAATGGGCAGAATTATGGTCAACTTATGCGTGTTTCATGGTCCAGTGGGTACAATAATAGTATTACCACTATAGGCTGAACACGACAAGAAGATGATGCGTTAGATGTCTGGAGTCACTGGGGTGGGCGAGTGTGCAGAGGAAAAATGTTAGAGACCATCATATAGGAGTGGAAAGACAAAATGATATAAAACATCAAAACTATCAGTTCTCCTTTGTGCTGCTGTAGTGCATTTGCTTTGGTTGGGTCGTTTCATCCTTTGTCCGGATTGCTAGTAGCGTGGTTTTTGTGGTGTGGTGTGTGCGTTTGTAAGGGCTCTTCCCTTTTTTTCTTCTTCTTAATATAATGATACGCGCCTCTCCTGTGTGTTTGAGAAAAAAATGCTATTGGTTCCATTGGTTTGATGTCGGGCTGACCTGACAGTTGTCAGGGCACTGATATCCTTACAGACCTAGAAATATTATTTGGATAATTATTTTTGAAATTATTCATAAAAAAGTCGACCTGAGCGGGTATGACTGCCCCCACAGCATTCCAATAAGAAGACCTTCTCCCCAAGCCAAGACACCGCCCCGCTCCACCCTTACATAGCGGAATCTGTTGCCCAAGTGAGAATTTGGCCGGGCCTTAGACCTGTAGACCTGTGCTTTGGTTTATGGGGCGGATGACGGGATTTTTTTACCTCAACCTAAAATTCGCTCCCACGGGGAGTCGAACCCAGGACCTGAGGCATGCTACTCAGACCTCCTAACCACTAGGCTAGGCGCCCTTTCGCTTTGAAATTATTCATAGGCATCTGCATGTGATGTACGGTTGACTTTTGAACATTTAACTACCCAATTAAGTATTTGTTATGTGTATCGTATGCTACTTCTATAAATATTTACCTATCCACTTTTGATTTAATGCATAACATATTATTGTAATGTGTATCGAATGTTACTTTTTATTCCTTGGGTTGTTAGGTGAATATATGTATTATATTGCTGAGTTGAGCATGAATCCATCTGATTCGATGCAATATTCGAATGCACTATTTTCTGCTGCACATTACATGATTTTTTGTCACTGCAGGTGCATTTTAGCAGTGGAGGTGTGAAATTATTGGCACTAGCTGAAGCATTGCTGAAGAAGCACATAAATTCTCATAGTTTACATGAGCCAGAAGGTATTTCTGATTTTTTAATGCCTTTTGCGATATTAGTTATCCTTTTGTTTTTCCGTACACTGATGTGGTTCTTTCCTGACGTGTGTGGACTATGTGGCAGCACTTTCTCTCTATGTTTCAATTTTGGAGCAACAGGAAAAATATGATGCTGCTTTGGAAGTTCTTTCTGGAGACTTGGGGTCTCTTCTGGGAAGGGAGGAGGACAAGCTTCGTTTGCAGGTAACTTAAATCAGTTTTCTTGGACAATACCTTGTTGCATTGGGTTGATCCAGGCTACAAGTTTCAATTAACCACATTTACCTTTCCACGTTTCATTTCACTGTAACAAACAATATTTGGCAACATCTATTCGTTGCTGCATTTTTGTGTCACAGTAGTTTACAAGTTGATTATTTACCATCATTACTGTACTATCTAGAGTGAATCGATATGGCAGCTCTGACAAATTAAGGGTTTGGAATTTTTCTATAAACTATATTAAGTACTCCCTCCTTATACCATGAAATTTGGGTAGGGCAGTCATTTTATCAGTGGCTACTAATGTCGACAAATGTATTTAGATTGACTAAGTAAAGGTATAACTCGTCATGCAAATATTTTTCCATTATACAAAATATTTCTAGTTGCAGCCAACATATTACCATTATATACCATGGACATTTTGGGTAAGGCAGTCATTTTTGGAAGTGACTACTAATGCCAACAAATGTATTTAGATTAAGTGAAGGTAGTTCTCATGCAATTTTTTTTCCTGTTATATACTATAATATTTGTAGTTGCTACAAACATATATATGTTATCAGGTATAGTTACCTATTGTATGATGTGTGCTGTGTCCAAACCAACAGAGCACGTTGCACAGAGGGAGTACTATTTTGCAAAGCATGTCTAGCACATGCGATCTACTCTTTACGTGCTTATAGATGGCTTCTTTGACCTCCGATGCTCTGTTTTTTACTCCTTTGGTTAATTTGCCTCTTAAGTATCATTCACTTACTTGGTTGTCTAACTTCAAGTTGACAGGGACGTCTTCTTACTCAAGCAAGTAGCTATCCGGCTGCTTCGGAAATATATCAGAAGGTTCTGGAGTCTTGGTAATGGTTCTCATCTTTAATTTGTATAAATTTCAGTTATCCTGTGGAGTTGGTCGTTAACCACGCTCACATTAATCTTGTTTCAAAAGTCATGGCCTGTTTTCAAAAAATGCCCGTGTATCGATTTATCCTACTTTAGTCATATATAACCTGGCTCTTTTTAACTACAATACATATTTAAGTTTTGTTTATGACATTATCCGAACAGACACTGCAATACTTTGCTTTGTTTTATCCTATTGCTTGTTGCATAATATTTTTATATACACCATTTGTAATTTTTCTTATTTTAACTTTTGTTTAGTTTTTGATGTTTGCCATCTCCTTTTGACTGGGCAGTCCTGATGACTGGGAGTCCTTTCTCCATTATATAGGATGTTTGCTGGAGCATGACGTGAATCTCCCTAAACCATCCACTGGCGAACACACTTGTCCTTCTTGCTCTGTTGATTCAGCATTATCCAACAAGACTTCTCTTAGCAAGGAGCTGGTACTTCCTGCACCTAGAGCAACTCTTTTTAGTCTTGTGTTTGTGATGTGAATATAGTTTACTGAAATTATGTCTTTGTAGGTTGAATCTCGCCTTACAAGTGCGTTGTCTTTTGTGCAAAGTCTACAAGAAAATAACTCAAGCGATTGTGTCAGAGGACCTCATTTAGCTAATATTGAAATTGAACGGCAGCGGTGCCTCAATGGAAACCCAGATAATATCAAGCTTATGGAAGCTTTGGTGAAGTACCTCCACAGGTAATATCAAGCTCTTGTGCATTCCTATTTGTGCTGTGGTCTATTTTTACTTATGGAAACCCAATATACCATACATACTGGATGTACAGCAGAACTCCCAAACGCCTAAGAAACCCGGACTGGAGGGAGTAGTATTTTTCCATTTTACTTAACTAATCTTTTAGAATTGTTATTAGTTATTTTAGATGGAGGGAGCAATTTATTAGGTTTCACCCCCTCTTTCTATCTTTTTTATTTTTTCACAGTGCCATAGCAGTCCATTGGTTTCTAAGAGCAACTCCAACAGAGTTGAGTCATGCATTCCAAATTTGACTATTTTAGAAGAAAACAGGGGTCCAACAGATGCTCTATCTTGTAGTCTAAAATAGCACGCTGTCCATTCCGCATATCTCGCTCGCTACAGGAAGCAAGCCGCTCGCCATCACCTCCCTGCGTGCGATTCTCGCATGCAGATTGCCCTCCCTGCACCAAAGGGCGGCGCTCAACGCGGACGGGTACGTGCGTGGCTTCCGCGCGGCCGGTGGCGAGTCTGAGCGATGGGTAGCTTCAGGGGCCGTGGCGCAGCTGCTTGCAGGGAAGGTGAGCGGCACATAGTTGTGGAGCAGCGTGCGAGAGGTAGAAGAAGATTCAGCCAAAACAGTGGCAGCTTTTTTTTTAATATGGAGAGTCTTAATTTAGATAGTCTGTTGGAGTAGTCTAGTTTTTTTAACCGAGATTCATTTTAGAAAATAGTCAAATCATTAAATTTGGATAGTCATTTTGGCTCTCCTCTTGGAGATGCTTTAATAGTTTAGTGACCTGGTTGCTATGAGACAGCAATTATATCTCTAGCTAGTTTCTTCACTGTTATTACGTTTATAATATAATAACATTGCTTTTGCTGAGTAGTTGGTATAAACCAACTTTGTACATATATAGCTATATAAATGCTATATACATGTTTTTCATATTCAGTCTTAAGGTGATCCCTCAAGGACATCTCACCGCAAAAGGGAGTTTAGGATTTGCCACCCTGTCTATTACCTTTTTCATAGAGTGGCCAATTATGGTAAATTGCGGATGGCTCAAATCCTATAATCTCCCTTATTTATGTTTAGGGTTTGATATCGAGCTGGCTCGGCTCGGTATAGCTTGAGCTGGCTCGTTTGGATAACAAGCTGGCTGGACTCAGCTTGTTTGGCTTGCGAGCTAGTTGGAAATACATGAGCCCATATGCAAATACATACAACAATCTTTAAGATGTAATTCAAAACAACAGCAGAAGGGGATTTTGCATAAGCTAAAACTCAGACCAACAGCAGTTCGCATAAGCCAAACTCAAACCAAGTATTTTTGAGCCAATATGACATCAAACATTGGCACAAAAAGCACACGCATGATCCAATCCAAAAGTTCACAGGCCAGTAATTCTGTGCAACACACCCCTTGGCTTTGTACACGGATATGGAGACCAATTTGCAGATTGCTGAGCCACAACGCCATGCTGCGCTGTAGTACTTTCTGTGCTACAGCAGGGTCAGGTTCCTCCCTCCTCGCCTCCTCTGTGTCTTTGTTCTCCATGGCCGGTACACACTAAGCATTATGAGAGGTGCAAGCGGTGGGCCACAAAGACAAGCAGGATTCCAAGAGGAGTCAATTAGTGTTAAGCTCGAGACGGAAGTTAGGCTGGGCCACCCACTGATTGCCTGCTGGCCTGCTACGACCTCAGCACATTATTGCTCTCGAGCCAGCTCGAGCTGGCTCATTATAGGTACTGAGCTAAAACGTTGGCTCAGCTAGTTAAAAATTTCTAATGAGCCGAGTCAATCCGAACCACTAACGAGCCGAGTCGATCCGAACCACTAACGAGCCGAGCCGAGCGAGCTAGCGAGCCACGAGTTTTTTGTCCAGCCCTATTTATGTTGATCTTGGTGCCCTCTGTGGCATTAACCTCATTACTTGAGTGCAGTCGTGGCAGAATGAAGTTTAGATTTGAGGCTAGAGGTTGTAGCACTTAACTAGAGGGAAGGTAGAACAGCAACATAAGTCCAAGCACAAGCAGGATAGAGTTTTGCCGAATAAGGGTCATCTATGGCAAAACAATTCTAAGGACTGTCTGACCGAAGGGATTCATCAGATATTAAATGGATAACCTGTGTCCAAATTCGGACATTCAATATCCGTACTGTATCTGAATCCGAATATAGATGATGTCAATAGGCAGCATATCTTTTCCAACACTACTGACATTATCTGTACCCAAATGTAAATCCGAGAAAGAAATAACTATATCTGTATTCATAACTGTAGGGGTATCTGTCCTTATCCGATCCGTTTTACACCCCTAGTGGAGGGTATCTGGAGTGGCAATATAACTCCATCAGCATGTGATGGATAGAGTTTGACTTGGTCTTATATGGTAGCTCTGTTGAGAGAATGAAAGAACGAAGAGAGGACAAAATTCACTTTGTTCTCATCGCACCAGATGTTGATGAGTGTCATTTTCCATAATTATAGGTTCTGTATGATAGTACTAGCGTTGTGATGGTATATTCAAGAATAACCATGCTTACCTCTTTTTCACTTTCAATATTAGTCTACTTAAATTGCTAAATGTTGTTTTGGCACTTGCAGATTTGGTCATTTGTCTTGCTCAGCATCTGATGTTGAAATTTACCTTCACATGCTATCCAACAATGAGATATCTGAGCTGCTAGGTGAAATCACTAGATCTTTTGATGCATCATCAATTTCAGCTAACACACTGGGTTCGACAATTACTCTTTTCAAGGTCCAGGAACTTTTGGGAACTTTATTCACAAAATCAACTTCAGGTGTGCAGGGCTACCTTTGCTGAAGTGTTACATGTTTATTGAATGTTTTTTTCTGGGGGTCCAAATTATCATTTGTTTATTATAAAATGTACGAAGGGCGGGCCTGATGCAAGCGGTAGAGTCTTACCGCCTGTGACCGGAAGGTCTTGGGTTCAAGTCGCGGTCTCCTCGCATTGCACAGGCGAGGGTAAGGCTTGCCACTGACACCCTTCCCCAGACCTCGCACAGAGCGGGAGCTCTCTGCACTGGGTACGCCCTTATTATAAAATGTACCTGAAATTTTATGTGCAAATCCAGAACTTCAGGGCATTGCAAAAAGAATGGTTGATACCTTTTACAAAAATCTGCCTCTCTCAAATGACTTGGATCCTCAGGAAAGCATGTACGGTGAAGAACTTCTGTCAATGGCCAGCAGTATCCTTGTGCAGGTTTGTAGATTTATTTGATTACTACTAACACGAGAGAAAAGGGGAACATAATAAGCTTTTTTCATGTCTCTAAAAATCTATAAAAAAATAAGATCTCTAGAGGTTTCTCTGATGCTTATTTGTATTGTGTACTTTGATTCCCAATTTATTAATTATTACTCCCTCCGTCCCATAATAGAAGACCTTATAGGTCTGGGCACGGGAATTAAGAAGGAAGAGAACAAGTATGATGCACAGAAAATGAGAAGGTGAGAGGTAGAGAGAAGTAGAGATAGAGGTGTATTGGAAAGAGAGGTGCATTGGGAAGTGAGAAGGTCAAGTATTTTGGGACAAAATTGAATTCTATAAGGTCTTCTATTATGGGACGGAGGGAGTAGGTCACAATTCGTTGTCCCTCTATTGTGTCATCCAATGAGTTACCCATTACTCTGATGTTTGAAGATGTATCTGGATTTTCCCCTTTGTTTTCTGGAAAAATGGAAACAGGATGCTACATTTGCTGCACTGCAATTTATTACTTACCCAATCACTAAAATAAGTCCATCTAGGTTTGTTCTTAGTCCAAATTTTCCAGCTTTGACTAGCAATATCTATAAAAGTAGTCTTTGATGAAAAGAGTTTTTATTGAACTAAATGTGAGCTATATGCTACAAAATTAATTTTCAAAATGAATTTAGTAATGTCAATCTTGCGTTGTCAGTCGCTATGAAATTTCGTAAATGAATGGTCAAAGTTAAAAAAGTTTTGCTTAAGACAAACCTAGATGGACTTATATTTCTGATAGGGGGAAGTAGCTTTTTGTTTATGTATACTGAGTCATGTTACCAAGATCGTGATATATTATCTTTTACCTTCATGATAGTTAAGACTCCTGGTCCTGATATAGTATATTTTGTTGTCTTTGCTGTCACTAAACTCCAGTAAAACTTTTATTCCTACACTTTTTATAAGATTACAAATTTGTCTTGGACTTCTGACCATCTAAAGTTCATGATTAATTGTGCTCTTTAATACCTTGACTTGAAACAGCTATACTGGCGCACCAGGGACTTAGGATACCTACTTGAAGCAATTTTGATACTGGAGTTTGGATTGACTGTTCGCAAGTAAGTTCATAATCATAATAATCCAGCCGTATAAATTACCATTTTATATCTAATATTTTATTCTTCATCAGTTGTGTCATTGAATATCTAGTAACATGAAGTGTTATCGAATTACTCAGTTCCATTGATTTAAGAGTGGATAGTTTTGATGCGCTTAACAGCATCTCTTTTAGGAATTAGGTGTGTTCCTGTTCCTGGATTCAGTATGAGCATATCTTAGATAAGCTCTGTTATTCCATCAATTGCTGTTGATGTTTGCTATATTACTAGGATATCTATTCAGTTTCTCATGAGTTCTGTTTCACAAATCCTGCTGGTGGAACTTGCATGTGCCTTGAAGGCAAAATTATATGCAAAAGAATAGTGATTGTGATAAATGATAGTTCCCAACTTCTGAAAATTAAAAATATGGGGGCATTAATGGTTGATTTTTTATATTTATTTACCAAAGTAAAGCATTTGTTTGTTTGCAATATAATCAAGTACACTGGTTCTACTGGATCCTGTTGCTTCATCTATGCTGGCCATTAGTCAACTTCCCATCACATGCCTTGTCCTTCTCTTGTTACATGCACAAACCCATCTTATGTCTGGTAGACTGGTTGCAACCTGTACTGCCATTTTGTGTATCCTTCCATTTTTGCAGCTAATATCTCTCATGAATATCAATTATCAATAATCTCTCAGAACTATTAAGCCTTTGCTGTAGAGCCTTCTAGGAATATTATAAAATGTAACATTGTGTTTACATGTCTGTTGTGAATTTAGCTATGCCTCGCTAATGTGATTTGTATCAGCATATATTGCGTGAGTAATATAAATGCTCACTAATCTTTAATAAGGAAAAAGAACTATTGAATCTCTTGGATAGAGGAAGCTACAACAAATCTGTAACTAATCAATCTTTTTTCTTTTATATTGCATTCTTGTGTGATTGTCTTAATTGAAGTGGTCTGATGCACATCCCAATGTGCAGTACCTTGCACTTGGCAACCTAATGTATTTCTCTGACTGGGTGTTGAATGGAAATCTTTAATTTGGTTGTGTGCTCAGGTATGTCTGGCAATACAAGATTACTCTGGTGCATCTTTACTCTTACTTGGGGGCACTTCCTTTAGCACATAAATGGTAATTTCGCCTTTTAATGTGTTATTTCCTTTTATCTTCTCACATTTGTATTCCACATGGATTTTTGCCCTACAGTGCAATCCAATGTGGTTTGCCTATAGAATGCTTCTACACAGAACAACCCTTTATTAGCTGCATCCGATGTGGTTCACCTATAGAATGCTTGTTTTTGTGTTGCACGCTTCCACTGCTAGCTCCTCTTTGGACTTATGTTTCAAGCCCCCCCTCCACCTCCCCTCTTATTCAGTGATATCATTTTTCTTATCCGTACACTGAGCGATGTTTTTATATGCAGGTACACAACCTTGGAAGTGAAAAACATTCTTCTAGAGTCTGTTTTGCACCACATCTTGCCACAAATGTTAAATTCTCCCTTCTTGCAACATGCTGCTGATCTTGTTAAGGATTATTTGAAATTTATGGATGATCATTTGAAAGAATCTGCTGATCTTACGTGTCTCGCATATAGACACCGTACTTACTCAAAGGTAGGCATAGTCCTCTCCATTGCTCACCAGTAGTGTCTGCATGGAACCATGTAAGGAAATACATAGTACAACCACCGATATGATGCTCCTTCTCTATCATTATGAAAATGCCAATGTGCCATGTCAAGAAGAGACTATTACATGATTTACTTAAGAAGGAAAGACTTCAGTCATCCAATCTTGATCTAACACATTTGGCTTTTTTTGTTCAGGTAATTGAGTTTGTTCAATTTAAAGATCGCTTGCATCGCTCCATGCAATATATTTCTGTAAAATCAGATTCTGTTATGCTACATCTGAAGCAGAAGGCGGACTCTCTTGATGAAGTGGAGGTGAGGCCACCCTTGCCAATTTGAAAGCATTGCTCCGGCCCAAATTTGTGTTTTTGCTAAAATATGGATGCATGTGTCCTTTTTTGTCTTCTGCTTCTAACCATTTTGAACATGCAATTTTGGATCTAAAGTTATGTATTAGCGTGGCCTGGTAATTTTGGATCTTAAGTTATTGATGCTTGACAATGCATATATTTTTTGCTAATCTGAAGATTGTTATTTTACTTCTGATTGCAGTCTATTCTTGAAAGTGTGAGCCATGGAACAAAGCTGGTTGAGCTATCTAATGAGGATAGCATGAAAGACTTAACCTTCAACGAAGATCTTGATGCACGGCCTTGGTGGACGCCAACAAGCAGCGTTAATTTACTTTCAGGTATTTCGTTCTTGTGATGTGAGTTTCAGTTGTTTTCTCCATTTTGTGTCTCTCTGAGTTGACTATATTCTCTCATGTACAAAAGTGCTTACTATTATCGTCATGATTTTACAGAACCATTTGATGAAAGTTCAACACCTGCAAGCTATAGAGCCAAAATGGTATGCCATTTTTAATCGGACCTTATCTATAAGCTAAGTTAGACAATAGTTAGGTTTCACAATCGTGTGTTATAAAAGGACTGCGTTTTGTCCATTGGCATTAAGTGACTTTTACATGAAGAGATTATATTGGTAAATGTCACTCCTTAATAGACAGCATGCTTCCTCTTACTGGACGTATCTTGTAATGCATATATTTGTTTCTCATGTCAACCATTCCTGCCCTCAAAAGAACTATATCTTTGCAGTGCAAGCACATATCTAATGAGAAAGATGGTTCGAAGCTGAAAGATGTAGAGAGAAAATCTCTTGTTCCTCGACTTGTTTATCTTTCCACACATGGTTGTGCGTCTTTTCTTAGGGAGAGTGAATCAAATGGTGTGTCCTCTGATGTTACTGCTTCTGGGGAGATGAAAACTTTGCTTGAGAAATATGCTAGGAGTATTGGTTACTCTTTTGATGATGCTCTAAGTGTTGTTCTGGGTATCTCATCTGGCAAGAAGGCTGTCAAGGTAAACACCTTTCTATCCTGGTTGTATTATCACACTTTTTTCTGTTTATATGCTTGCTATATTATTGTGTTTCTGAAAATCATTATCTGCATTTTTTTTCAGTATAAACTCATGTTGATCACATTTTGTAGAATTTGTTATCCAGTAATTATAGTTTCTTTTCTATATTCATTATTAAAAGTTTCACATTATAGTTATTTTTATTTGAAATAACATACAACAACAACGTAGCCTTTCAGTCCCAAGCAAGTTGGGGTAGGCATTTGAAATAACATAATGCTGTAGAAATCACTAAAGTGCCATATCCTTGCAGGATGTAATGTCTTTTGTATATCCTCGTAGAAATTATCTTTTTTTTCTATCCTTTTAGGAGAATGAGATTAAAATTAGCAGTATGCATTACACTTTCTGGGGAATGGACTTTTGTATGATTATTACTGGAGTGATGTTTCATATACTGTTCATAGCGAGAGTATAATGATTGATTTAGCTGGTGCCTTGCTAATGCAGTTTACATTTGCAGGATTTTGCTCCTGATATAGTCAGCTGGATGAGCTTTGCTGTGTTTATCAATGCTTGGAACTTGTGTTCTAATGTGTCAGTGATCCCTGGAACTGACCAAAGCAGCCAAAATTCCTGGTGGATTGTGGATAACCTCGTCAAAACTTGCATAGATGAGCAGTTGACTGATACCAATCAAATGCTGACTTCTCCAGGAAGCAATACTCCACTTCTAGCATGGATGGTGACAGAGCCCATTTCCTGGCACCTTCTTGTAATCCAATCCTGTATGAGATCTATGGCTCCACAAGGGAAGAAGAAGAAGAAAGGCGGTCCATCTGAGCGACCAAACACACCTCACCTGCAGGCAATTCGGAGCTCAGTTCAGTGCATGGCTGACACTCTCCAGAGAGTCCAGAAATGTCTGTCAGACCAGATGAAGCCAGAAGACCAAGCTCTGGACATACTGGTGTCACATTTGCAAGGAACCAGCGCCGAAGGCCCCGGACAGATCACCCGTGTCTTGGATGAGAGCGCAGCAGCTGCCAGCTCCGAAATCGGTGGCCGGATCGCCCATTCTCTAGAACCATGGAGCTGTGCCTGCGTGATGAGACGAATAGTTGGGGCTGAGAATGAGACGATAGCCGAGTTGAGGAAGATATGCACCTCGAAGCTGAAGCTCCTTGCGTCCGCATCAGCTTCCCTGTCCTTAGTGTTGCACTAGGTGTGGAAATTGGTCTTGAGATTTTTTCTCCTCATCCCCGACTGTTGTGCCTTCCTCGTCCCCCTTGATGTTGTAAACTAATGTGCGTTTGTGTTTGTTGTTTCTATGCAATTTTGATTTGAGTGACATCCTAGTTTCCGCGTTATTTGCATGCCTGCTACCTTCAGTCGTGGTGGAACTGTTGCTAGAATTCATAGTTGAGGGCCCGTCTGGAACTCAAGAATTTTACAGGATTCAGTTTGATTTCATAGGGGGGAAAAGCAGGATTTAGGGAAGAAAATCCGGTTATAAACATGCTGTTTGATACTGTGGTTGAAATAGACGCTCGTCTTCAGTTGTCTACGCTGTGCCACATTCAAATACGCAGCTTTGGGTCGGCAGAGTCGCATAGGTGGAGCAAAAAGGCACTCTGTTCTTTGCTTGGGTCGGCCTGGACCCGGAACGAACTCGCCACAGGAATCACTTCAAAATTGATGCTTCCCACCTTGCCCCACTAGAATCACAGAATAAGGAGTGAAGCTAAAAAATCAGGGTTGAAAACTCTTATCAAAATGGCCCTAGGACGTTCGAAAGGGATTTTTGAGAATTTTTTTTTAGAATCGCCGTGGATCCAAACACCGGGTGTAAAAGAGATGAGATAGACGTGACTGGTGAGTCGTGATGGAGGGCCTTGGGCGGTCGTTTTCGCTGTCAGCCGTGCAGGTTGCGAAGGGAGGATCGGTGCTCCTCGTCGTCGTTGGTGTCAGGTCACGCTCAGTCCGCCGAGGCCGCTGCGGTCTGGACCGCTGAGGTCCTGACCCTTGTCTGTGTAGCGTAGCACAGTGCAATCGTCTACTCTCCCAATCCCTGTTAGGCTGTTACTGTGCAAGCAACGCAACTCTGCGTCTGCACGCTGCGTCTGCGTCTGCGTGCACACAAGCTACTACTGTAGCGCGTACGAGTATGATATGATATTAGGGGTGTGCTGCATATAATAGTGCTGTTTCATGGCCCGCGTGTTCCTTCTCGGAATCTCGGCCCTCCCTCCCTTTGTTTTTTTCTTTTCTTTCCCTTGCTCCTTTTGGTTCTTCTGGGGTCCAAAGCAAAGGCGTGATATGCGGTGCGGCCTCATTTTTCTCGTTTGTTTACGGCGTCCTGCTGGCATGGCAGCCGTACGAAGAGGAAACAAAAATGGTGGAGCCGTGGTGTCTCGTGAATGCGTCAGCTACAAGTGAAGGTATGTATAATGGTCTACGTCGACAGTCTCATCATATCTTGTTGTATGTATGGCTACGAAGGAGACGGAACGATACAGGAGAAACAACATTCTCTCGTGAAAGCATATGGTTGGAGCTGGAGTCAATCGATTCATAAACAGACTAGTGCTAATTTTAGCCCTTGTTAAATCATCAAAAGTGCTAGCTCAACAGTTTCGGTGTTCTACATGCCAGTCTATTAGGACCATGACCGGGGCTAAAAAATGTACATTTAGATCCCCAGCTTCATATAAACTATTAGCCCTTGTTAATAGCTTGGTAAAACCTAGAGCTCCTATTTAAACAGACTAGTGCTAATTTTAGCTGCTACTTGTTAGGCCATAACATCAAACAAACTCTTATTCACGAATGATTAATGAAAGCACGCAGGGTTACAGTAGTACGTCTCTTTTCAGCAGGAGGGGAACAAAGGAAAAGAAAAGGACAATGAAAGAAAAAGAGAAAGGGAAACTGGGAGTGAGAGTGAGCTATCAATCAATTAATTCCATCAGGCCCTGCACGCCGGAGCGACGCGCCGTGCCACGGTACATTTGCTGTGCTCTCTAATAATGCTGTGGTTGTAAGACTGTCTTCGACGTATCTAAAATACAAGATTTTGTTCGTTTTTTTTAGCGATACAGACAAATGGTTCGATACCTATTTTTAGTCTTCTCCAAAAACAAAATCCAAAAGACAACTCTTTCTACAAATATGTCTCCAGGAGAGGATATTCAGATTTAGGTTATGCCTCTCCTAGCACCTAAAATGGATCTTTCATATAGGCACTCTATTAGAGGCTATCAACCTATTCGTTTCGTCGTAAACGATCGTGTATTATTTACGGCTGGCTGGTTTAGTTGGTTTGGTGTGAGAAAAATATTATTTCAGCTTATAATCCACGATCGTATAAGCCCAGCTGAACAGGCTGTATATGTATTGTGTTGGAGACTATTTTAGATTTGGGTTCCACGACATGCTTAACAGCAGCAGACGACCACCTCGTGATACAGATTCGGCACCCCTCTGTTGACTCCTCGCCACCCGTAAGCTAGCCACCCGTCTCCAATCACTCATCACGGACGACGTCCCACTGCCTCCTCTTCTCTCAGCTGATATGTATGATCATCATATATATCACGCTTCATCCAGTGGATAAAAGCTTTACTTTTCTGTGCTACAACATCCAGTCAAGTGAACCCAGTTAACTGAATCACTTGGGAATAAGCGTGTTACATTCCTCTTTTCCATATACCCCTCAGTCCTAAAATAAATTAATTCGTAGCAAAATGTCTTATCCCACAAAGCGTTGACCTTCTCCCTCCTCACTTTTAGGTGCCGTCGAGAATCCGTAAAAAAATGTCTTGGATGCTGAGATTTAAAAAAATCTGAGTTAAAATCCCTATAACTAGACCGTTTTGACGAGAACGTAGGATTCTAGGATTTTTCTATCCGATTCTCCAAATCCGAAGGACCTAAACGGGTCCTCAACTTCTTGAAATCTCAAGCAGACATTTGTCACCACCAATCCTGAAGTCAGGTGGAACAAAAAGTTAAATTGGTCTTGGGCAAGTCAGGTCACCACCGCAACACACAATTGTCGCGTGCTCCAACCGTCTCCCAACCAGCGCTGCCGCCGCCCTCTCCCACAAACTTGCTTGGTCCCCCTCTTCTCTCCTAACCGACGATCTCACAGGTGGACAGATGAGCGGGGACGCAATCTCTTTTCCCTTCGTAGTTTTAGATTAGGTTTGTGGATTCTTATTGTCATCGACGAGGTGGCGGCGACGATGGTACTTTGGAATAAGGTCTCTCCGGTCTCTCCCTACCTTGACGATGTTCGATCTGGCGTCGTCGAAGGACAAGTGGGAGTTTGGTTTGTCAAATCTGTTGATTCTCTTTAGATCTTGGCAGTTGTCATGCTTATCAGAAGAAGCAGTTGGTTGGCTTTCAATGCGGCAATCTCGACCTTTTCTTTTGGTTTGTTCTATCGCAAGGTTCATAATCTTCAACACTCTGTTTCGATGGTGAAGGATTGCAAGCCTGTGTTCCTTGGAGGATTTCTCTAGCTGATGTTCTTTTAGTGGTTACTAGATCTCGTTGTCAGCAGCGAGTGGATTTTGTGGTCTTCAAAGCAATGTTTGGCGATGGTGTTTGTAGGTGGCCCTTTTCTTTGTTGTCTTTACAGTATGATCTTCAAACTCTGGCAGACAGTGGATGTCCAAAAGAAGAAGATGACCGATTTGGTCTTTGATGTACTCTTATATTTTAGATGTTGTTTTGTGTCTTTTTGTCCATCGATTGTACTAGCCTTTATTTTCCTTAAGATATATCAGATCTTTTTATCAAAAAAAGGTCACCGCCGTTCCCGTCTCTCATGCGGCAACAATTAAGTGGCAATGTCTTAATACGAAGGGCATTCAAGTCTTTTCTCCTCCATACTAATTTATTTGAGGTGTCATGTTGAGAGTTTGGTCTGACATAACACAATTCCGAACGGCCTAACAAATTCGTCTTCGTTTCACTTTCAATTTTGCAAGAAACATGACTTTGGGCGAAACTTCGTTGAATGAAGCAAAGCTTCACGAATGAAATGAAGCTTTATGAATAAATTCAACATCCGAGACAAGAATCAACTATGAACAAAGGTAGAGGCTACGAAGCCCGAGCAAACTAAGGGTCCGTTTGGATGCGACAATCAGTTCTGATTGTCTTCATAATCACTAGAAGCACTTCCAAATAATCAATACAATACTAATTCTTGGTAGAAACGTTTCTAGTGATTCTCTCTTTTTGTACTAGAGATCAAAATCACCTCCAGACTAGTTTCTTCGGATTCTATTTCTTGCGTTCTTACCTTCCATCAAATCTAAAAATATTTGTAGTGATCCTCTTCAAGAGAAACCAATTAAAATTAGTTGCTTTGATTTGTTCATCGCCCATAAAATAATTACCACTTTTTGTAAAAGTTATATATTTTTATGATTTTTTCATGTAAATCAATGATTTTCACCACCCTTTACAAATCAGAATCCAACCAACTGGCCAAACGATTTGGGAAAGCAGCTCTGATTCACTAGAAAAACGTTTCTAAGAGAATCTAGATCTCTACCAAGCACACCCTAAGTCCAATTGACACTCAAATTAGACCCAAACCAGTTTTAGAATAGGCCATTACTAGTTTTGGTCCAATCTAAGGAAAACTCTATAAAAGAACATGAAAATAGTACCACATTGGTTTTCACACGAAATAATACCACCCTTACTCCATATAAAGTATGGGGTATATGGTCAATTGAGGTATCCAACATTCAATCATCAAAATTAGATTTAATACCCTTTTTCATCTTTTTTCCAACACTATGTTGTTGTTCATCTCTTAATCCGACAACCAAGGATGGCGCCCTAGGCTTGTTAGCTGACCTATGGCAAGCTATCGGTAGCCTTGCCGCAACGAGGTCCCTCCTAGGTATGAGCTTCGATGGTTCATTTGCTATTTTACTCAGAAACTAGTTGTTCTTCAACACGTAAGCACGATTGGTTACCCTTTGTTGGTTTGCTTATAGACCTAGCCACTCTTCACCGTGAAAACGTGTGGGTTATCCACTGCGTTCTTCGGTCCATGGCGACTTGAGCGATCTAGCCCTAGTTGGTGTGTGACCGATCTTTGTGTCAACACACTTTTTGATGACCCCATTAGCACTACTAGGAATATCCACTTCTATGACGATCAGCTTTCGTTACCGAAGGAGCCAAATTCGTCATAAT